GGGAGGATTGTGTTGAGTGTGTTGAGATCCTCGGCAGCTGGTTGGGTCAGTTGGCTGGTCCACATGTTGCCCAATACGTGTTCTCCTCTAGCTAAGATGTTCTTGACAAGAGTAAGTCCCTCTTTGGCAGTGTCCTCCAATAGCTTAATCATGGCTTCAGCTAAGTTGGATGGCATGAAGTACGTTCTATTGCTACGGAGGCCATGTTTCTTGGCAAGCAAGAGTTGTCGTGACCGCTTGGCGTTGGGGGCAGCTCGCGCAAGTCCTCCAGGGGTCTGCTGTGCATCGCCTGTCCAAAGGATAAGTGGCTGCTGCCTGAGCAGGCTGATTGTGGCAATCTCACGGTCAGTGCCGTACTGTTGACCTTCGTCAATGATCATCACTGAAAAATCCTCGTCAACGTGGACCACTGCATGGTGAGGTCTTGTGCGACTGTGCCACCCGTGGCCATGACCAGCTGACACTTATTGAGCATCTGTCTCCTCTCCCTCGGGTTGATGTCAAAGTTGCAAGCTGTCAGCTACCGCTGCAACAAGAGCTGCAAGTGTATCAACATCATACAGCTCCAGCTTGAAGTTGGTGGTGTACGCAAGGTTTAGAGCAGATCTCTTGCCATCATCTATTGCACGGACCTTGTTCTCAGACCCCTGATAAAGAGCAAACCGCGGATTGAAAAGCCATCTGTCTGTTCCAAAATGGGCTGTGACCTCTTCCTCAGAGAGAGGTCCATGCAAGTTGCCCAACGTGAAGGTCAGCTTGCACCTGGTCTTCAATTCTGGAGTTCTCGGTACTCATCAAAGATTTCCTTCTCCAGACTGATGATTCCAGTAGTTCATCTACAGAAATCAAAGAAGGCTTCCAATCGTCTGGAAAGTTTGGTGGCTTAGTGTGGCTGCCGTAGAGCGGGGTGCCATTGGTAACCATGTCAACCACCTACATGTCGGCAAAACCTGTTGTCGTCAGTAATTTTTCCCACAAGTACAACCTCTTGTTTGCTAAAACTGAAGCAGTTGTAGGATCCATTGACGCCTTAATCCGCTGCTCCTCTGAAGCAAGTTCTGAAGCCTTCCGATGGAGAGCCAGGACCACACTAAGTCGATGCTTCGCAACATCGAGAGATGTAATCGTTGTCTCCATCACTTGCTGGGTATGAGACAAATTACACACCTCATTCTGCAGGCGCAGGAGATCCAGCGCTGCACTCCGAGTAGGATTCGCTGCATCCATGCGTTGCATGTTGATGCTGAAGTGGCCGGCTTTGTTGGTCTGCAAGATGAGCAAAAACAGCAACGGGCACCATGGCTGGATGTACTTTGACATCGTCCTACACAACTATCCACTTTTTTTCCTTCGAGTGTGGCCGATGTCGCGCTAAAGGCTCGGTCCTTACATGAGCATAAGCAGGAAAGATATTTGTACAGGGACATATCAAGTCCATTGAGGCGGCAAATCGATTAAAACAACACACAAGAACAACAAAAGCCAACCAAACACGACGACCCGCAAATCCCCCAGCCAGACTTGCGTTTCGCCAGCGGAAACAGCGAAGCAAACGGCAAAACACCAAAAAACAACAAACAAAAACGGGGCCAGAGCCCAAACAGAACACCCACAATATCGATTTGCCATGGGACGCAGTGGCAAATCCACTGCATCACTCTCAAAAACGTGCCAATGAATTAAATCACGGCATTCGGGCAAACATGAAGGCTTTAGCTTGTAAGTTTGCTCAAGCATGTGCCAAGCTGTACAAAAAAACAGGGCTACAAGTTAAGCCTCACTCAGCGTCCTTTCAGATCAGCTCGTCAGAGGGCATCCATGGACAGAGTCGTCACCATATCTGTCAATCGTAACCACGAAGCCGTGATGTTGAACAAGTCAGATCCCCCCCCCAGAGGGGGGGTGGACAGTGATGGCATACGGGAAGCAATGTAGGCCAGGGAAAAGCTTCCAAAATACCACCGCCAATACACAGCATGCCCCTAGTTTCATAGGGGAAGATGCAGCCATCAGATTGATTGATCTCAGCCAGCGAAGCTCCTGGGCAGTACTCGCAAAGCTGAGGGACATGCAATAACAACATTGTATTCGCAAATTTGTATTCGCAAGTTCCACCATACGAGTGCTGTCTTAGGCAACGTAGCTCTCGTTGATGTAGGTTCGCAAGACATACAAACTACAGAACTGTTCAGGACATTTCAGGATGTCATCGTCCCTGAAAGACCTGCAGTGCATTGCAGTATGCACAGAAGAAGATTGTAGCGAAACCAAGGCCGTAATGCCACTCACCCACAGAATAGGCAGGCTGCAGACACCACAATCCTTCTACCACCTGACGAACCATGCTGGCAGTCTTCTGCTGCTCGCGGGCGCCCCAGGCAGTCCTACAGGGAGCACTACCGGAAGCACCGGTGAAGCTCACTGCAACACAGTCTGGTCCATGGCATGGGCCGACTACCTACCGCCCCTCTCGGATGGATGCAGCTACCCATGTAGAGTACCCAGACAGAGGACAAACCAAGGAGACCCAGAAGAAACAAACAAATTCAAAACCCAAGAAGAAGAAAGCCCCTTAAGAAAGAAAGGTCAAGTCAGCTAGAGGGGCAAAGCAAAAAGACGGGCCCTATGGGCACCAAACTAATTGGCCGTCCTGAGTAACCTTAGTGGGTCACAAGAGTGCTGTGTCAGTGCCTCTCCAGTCAGTACCTAAAGTAAACAAACTAAATCAAACAAGTCAACAATGTTCTTACACTCAACTCTAAGCTCCATTCGTTCGTACCTGAGTGAGAGCAGGGGAGGGTAGACAAGCTAAGCAGAGGAGGGCACCGAAGTCCCAACAGAGACGCAAAAAGGCAAAAAGGAGACCAAGCAAGGGCAGGACCAGACAAACAGACCAGACAACAAACTAAAAACAGGAGGGGGGTGCCGGGGTGGCAGAGGAGGACAGGGGCGGAGAAGGCTGCACCAATCACATTAGAATAGCAATAGTGCAGCTTTAGCGGAGTCCAATGTGGAACTGGATCATCATCCTGATGAATACCTCAGTGTGGCCAAACTAAGCTCCCCGACATCACCTGCAACATGGTGTAGAGGGTGAAAACCCCACACAGGGCAATTAGCCTTTGCTGCCATGAGACATTTGATGGAAGGACGACATAGCACAACAACATTCCCAGCACGAAGGCAGGGCAACTAAGCCGTCACAGCTGCAACCAGATACCCAGAGGGAGGTACCAGCAAAACAAAAATACTGGACCAGGGCGCCAAACTGGACAGACCGCGGGGGGAGGGATCTAAAAAAGGACAGAAGGAGCCAAACAAAAACAAACAACAAGACAGAACCAGGAAGTCCCACCCAAGCACAGAGGAGCGCAACAGAACCAGGAAGACAACGAGACGCACCGACAGGAGCACAAAACAAAACAAAGATCCCAAGAACCCGGCAGGGCAACGCATCAAGGGGACCACAAAACCCCCAAAGGGACAGAGGGCGGCACAGACTCTAATTTTGCAGAGAGTAGTGCGCTTGACTTTAGTGAAGGGTGTATTGCAATTCTGGATCATTGTACAAGGATGAGGGGCGTGCACACGAAACAGAAGAGCTGGACCAAAGTAGTGAAATGAAAAAGTACGAGTGCACCTGTCACGTCTACGGACAGACACACAAGTACAAAATTAGCAAGCCCAAACACCAAACTATTGGGAGATGAGCCACAGGTGCACCTGTCACGTCTATGGACAGACACACAAGTAGCAAATCAAAAGCCTAATGGTCAAAACAAGTGAGGGTCTTGCAGGACATGGAGGAGCCAAAGGATAGGTCCCTACCAGAGCAAAAGGGGCCCCAACCAACCGCAGCAAGGGGGCCAAAAGAGAAAACTGCATCAAACCCAGCGGACACAGAGAAAGTAGAGATAGTGCGACCCAAAAAGCCAGCGAGGGAGAAGGAAGAAAAGGATCTATGTTTGACTTCGTGTAGTGTATTCGAGGTGGTGTTGCTTGTCTGCTCGGAGGGTATCGTTCCAGCTGTTCCCAATTGCAAAGGAGACAGGGTTCGCCCTTTCTGCCCTTGCAGCCAGGAGACGTAGCTCGTTGCATTTAGTCTGAAAAGTAACCACGTCAGTATCTGGTGCTCTTCTGCGTAGTTTCCGATCAGGGAAGGTACGCTCTCGCACGTGCTGTTGCAGAATCGTTTCTGGTAAGTAGTGGGCTGGTCGCTGGAACAGCACCCTGCTTGCTAACTTCCCGCGGTTGACTTCCCAGTGAGTGAACATATGGCGATGTGGTACTTGCTGCTTGAGTTGTGCAGCATACTGGTGGAAACTTTTGGGCGTATGCCACAACCTCAGGAGGCTATAATTGGACGGCCACTCAAGTGGGCACAGAGTGGCTGTCTGCTTCCACATTGCAGGGGTAAGTCCTTTGGGGGATGGCACAATTACTTCCAGGTTGACTCTCGTGGGTCCAGTGGGTTGCAGGCCCATCATGATGTAGGGTTCTACTACACCCATTGTGTACCCTCGGATGAGTTCCGAAAAGCAGTCAGCTGCTTGGAATTCCTCGTCCAAGGCCAGACTCAATCCTGGAGCGTTTTTGTCAG